CGGGATGCCACCCCTCGGTGTTGCCCCCGCACCTCGCTCAGCCAGTGAGCGGCCGGTCTGTATGTGGGATCCGAACCCTCGGCGGGAGCGCCGCCGCACTTCCCAAGTGGCGCACTGCAGCAGTGCACCACCGAGCCGGCCCCATACTTGAACTTTCTGATGTAGAAAGCATAGGAGGGAATCAAAAGTGTTTTCCTTGTTTTGGCAACATAATCATAATAGTAATAATAATGTATTAATGATTTCCATTTTTCTACTTCTTACCAAAACCTATGACCTCATTCTTCGTATTCATAAAAAGGGCCTATGGTATTTTTATGTCAGTGGTAGAAATGTGAATTCAATATGATAACTCCAGAGCATCTGAAAACAAAGGATAGGTCAGTGAATCACCACCACAGTGCTCCCCTAAAGAAGAATCATATAAAACAGCATACTCATCAGTAAGACACGTTTGTGAGTGCCTCCTGCCTGCAGGCCCTCTGTTAGATGCTGAAACACAAACAGGTACAAGACTCAGTCTTTGCATTCAAGGAACTCGTTATATTTGAGGACACAAAGCTGACTTAAAAACACAAATAGCCTCACAGGGGAGTCGAGTGAACTTATTCTTATTCCACAAGTTCAGAGTTCGGAGGACAGATGTCTTAGGAGTGAATGTCGTTCTTGTGCTACAAATTGAAGAGCAGAAAATTAATACATAGTAGAGGTGGCTGCTCAGGTGAGAAGTGGGAAATGCAGCTGAAGCTTCAGACAGGGCTGATGAAGTGAGCAGAGTCATCAAAACATGACAGACATGTTGAGAAACAGTGAAAAGACCAGTTTGGCTAAGTCTCGGATGATAGAAAAACCTGGAAAAGTCTGCAGGAGCCAGACTACAGTGGACCCTGAAGAACCTCAAAGAATCTTTTTCCTTTTCAGGAAAACAGAGATTATGGAGAAAAGTATATGTAATAATATTTCATTTATTGCTATCTAATAAATGACCCCAAAACTCACGGCTCAAAACAACCACTATTCATTATTCTTCATGATTCTGTAGTCTGGAAAGGACCCAGCTAGACAGTTCTTCTGCTCCACATGGTGTCTGCTTTTAGGTTTTTTTTGTTTTTTGTTTTTTTTCCAGCAGGAATGTTGGTTTAAAAAAAAATCTAGTTCTCTATTATCAGACACAGAAAGTTTCATCACTGTTATTCCACGTGACCCCACGACCACCCATGAATGATTTTCATTATCCGTTCACATAGATGAGGATACCAATGTCCAACGTGGCAATCAACTTGCCCAAAGTAACACAGGTAGTAAAAACCCATATCTCCCTGACTCCAAACATTTTTATTTATTTTATTTGGATACAAGTTTGCATCAGCCGGTAACAACAAGCATAGCCAGTGCCCAGTTCTTGACTTCTAACACCATGCTCCATTGAAAGGCGTGAGGGTTCTTTGGAAGAATGGCTGATGCCGGGGCCGGGGTAGTAAATATACAAGATGAGCCTGGGGCATCATGTAGTTCCAGAAAGTAATAAAGTGCTAAACAAAACAAACAAACAGAAAACACAATGATGGGGGTATGTATGTCCAAGGGGCACAGGAAGGAGCCAACTGAAAGAGCTCCCAATGGCCAAAGCTGGAAAATTTGAGGGGAAAAAAAATGTAGTATTGGATTATAACTCAAAGCATAAAGTATTAAATACAAGTTCATAATGATACAAATAAATGATTGAACAAATAAGTAAATGGGGGGGGGGAAGTCTTCCTTACAGAAGAATTCCAAATAATATAAGTGGATATTCCTCCCTCCAGGAGGTAAAACAATTTCCCTTTTCCTGAGTGTAGGTTGGACTTAGTGACTTGCTTTTATTAAAAGAATAGAGTATGGAAAGGGGAAATAGCTACTTTATAGTGGAGAAACCTGGTAGATCCCACCCTAACCAAGTAACTAAGGTTAATATCACTGGTGGTAGGTCATGTTGATAGCATGTTCCCTCTGATGTGAACCCAAGTCTAATCATGAGAAGAAAACATCAAAGCCAAATTGAGGGATGGTCTACATGACAACTGACCGGTCCTCCTGAGAACTGGCAATGCATGAGAGACAAGGACAGGCTGTGAAACCCTCCCAGATCGGAAGAGACTTAAGGATACATGACAACTAAATGCAAGGCAGCATCCTGGACTGGATCCTGGAATGCAAAAAGGACATTAATAAAAAACTGGTGAAATTTGAATACAGTCTGTAGTTTAGTTAATAGTAATGTGCCAGTATTGGTTTGCTAGTTTTTACAGTGAACCACAGTTATATAAGATGTTAACTTGAGGGGAAACTGGGTGAAGAGCGTATGAGAACTCTCTGTAGTGTCTTTGGAACTTTTCTGTAAATCTGAAAATATTCCAAAACAAAAAGTTTATTAAAAAAAAAAAAGTCAGCATAGGGGGACAGCAATCAGCCTGGGTTGATTCTAAAAAGTAAAACTTTTCAGAACACCCAGGAGTTATGCTGATGCTCTGGTCTCATGATAATTAGAAATGCATATATTTATGTTTAAAATTTTTTCTCATTTCATTTTTACAGAGATCTTCAAAGTAAGTAAGGCTGATAGAATCCCCATTCAATAAATGAGTAAAACTAAGAAACAGTAAAGTTAAGTGACTGAGTTTCTAGCTCAGCATAGAAACCTGAACTTCTGACCCCAATAGAAGTGGATTAAGCCCATGCATATGTAACCCTACTTCTTCTCTTGGAGCACTAAAAAACCAGAGGAGTTCAAACATTTCTCCAAAGGCCTACCAGATGTCCCCGCACAGGCAAAATCCATCCACATATTCAGAAAGTGCGAGTGTCCAGTTGTCCAACTGAAGCCCGCAAGAGACGGGACTGGGTTATGGTTCTTTTTATTTTTCAGATTCAAGCCAATCTCCCACAGCCCTTCAGACTGATAACTAACTTTTGCTCTTGTCTGGAACTTCAGTGTTGCTGGGGCAGGTCCATATTCATGATCTGGTGTAATCCTCACTAGCACCCTTTAGTGTGAACAGCTGTGAGTCCATTTTAGGCACTGGGAGTCTGAGGTTGACTTGCAGGCTTAATCAGTGAGTGGTAAAAGCTGAGCTTCCTTGGTGGGTTTCAAAGTCCAGTCCCCCCTCCTGTTCTAGTGTCCCCAGGACTGAGCTGCTCCCCCTTGATGCCCTCACTGTAGGACCCTGGCTTGAAGGTGGTCAGTGATGATGCCCCCGAGGATCCATCATAACAAGGTCCCTAAATACAAGATTCCTGTGTCCTGCCCATTAAGTATTTTTGCAGGGCTATGTATAGAACAATCGTGTTCTTTGTTCTCAGGAAATTTAGTGTCCAGGCATTATCCTGTCTCAGTCTTCATTAACCCAGACATTTGTATTTATTTTGCTCCAGATAATTATCAGCATTAGAGAGTAACAATCAGCTCAGACTCATTTTAAGGAAGAAAGATTTTCCAAATAACCCAACAGTTAACGATGTGTCTCCATTAAAACCAACTTCATCTTGCTTTTAAAAAAATAAAATCCCAGCTTCTTAAAGTGAGTGGTGTATTCTAATGCACATGAGTATTTGGCTCTTTCTCTTTTAGTTATTTTGCACTTTCTTGTAAAGTAGACTCAGGTTATAGATTGAGTAGCTTCATTGTGCTCCCTGAACTCCAGCGCACAGCTGCCCTGCTGTGTCAGTGGCCGCCAGCATTGGAAGAGGCTCTCAGCGACAAGAGAGAAGCAGCAAGTACATGTGGACGTGTGGTCAGCTCACACGAAGAGATCCGCACAGGTGGAAGCTTTTCAGTCTATGTGTGTTCAAAGAACCACAGCCCAGCGGTGGGTTGCAAATCAAAA